TACATGGAACAAGATACTATGACTGGCTTACATGGAACAAGATACTATGACTGGCTTTACTATCAGGGACCATGAGAGGTACAATAATTTGGCAGACAGAGAGTGAGCGTGAAGCTTAAATAGAGAGCGGAACAGGTGCATGAAATGAAAGCTGATTGCTATTGAGGAGACAAGGGTAGCATGGCATGGCTTGGAGGAAGCAGGCTTGAGTTTAAGATGGGTGACAGGCAAAATAAAGAAGGAAAACAGAAACATGATGACAGCGGAGCAGAAACCTGGCATGAGGGGCTGAGAGAGAAACCGGGAGCAGGGCTGAACTTGAAGGGGAAAACAAAGCATAAATAAGTTTATGGAAATGAGAAACCTTAACTACGGCATGAGAGGGCAGAAACTATGGAAGGAGGGAGCAAATGACATAGGCAGGAACGTGGCATGAAGAGCAAAGATGTGAGAAGTTGGGGGGGGGGGGGGGGTGTCAGCGGGGGCCACTGACCATCACATTGCCAGATAAATTGAAAATGTCCTATTTACCCCTTCCTTTTCTATGCAAATGTTCAACAAACACAACACACACCTCATCTTAGAATATCTTTACTCAGTACATGACAGTTTAGGTCAAAATACTATACTTTTAAGGTGACAGTAATATAGTTCACACTTTCTTATCTGGTAACCCAACTGGCTTGGAAACTACAGCCTTTTCAAGTAAACCCTCTCAAGTTTTGTTTATTGGAAAAAAAAAAACACTAAGGTTTCCCAAGGTTGTTCTCATGTAAACGGGACCTTATAATATCGTATTTTCTGCCGTACCCGTGTCTTGAACTTTTTTGAATTTGTCATTATATGCATGTTTACCATTACATGATACAACAGCACGCCTTAAAGCTACTAGTACTCTGCTACCATCTAGTGGCTGAAAATTGTATTGTTCAATTTTATTTTATTTTTCCAGTCAGAATGAATGAAAACGGTCATATCTCAGCCAAAAATTGGTTTATAAATATGGTAAAAAATTCCATAAATATTTTGCTTCGGCCTATAAGTCACAGTGCATGCAAATTATGCAAAAACACAACTTATAGGCTGAAAAATACGGTAGGTAGATCACTTTGACTTGGTCATTTTAAAAGTAGCTTCCATGCTTAAAAAGTGTGGGCACTCCTGATATAGAGGCATAGACGGGGTATATGGTGCATCATATACAAGGTTTGACCAAATGTACTTAATGTAAAGCTCTTGCTTGAAAAGAGGTAGGCAATATGCATTTCTTAAAAGAAAACTAGGCCGTTAATAGTTTAAGTTTATTTTGTGCACTTAACTTGTGGCTCAGAGTTGGGCTCCCTGAGTAGCCTGGTTTGTAAAAACATCCCTGATGGTTAAACCTATAAGATTTTCCTTTATAAAAGAAAGCTGATCATGTTTAATGTTAGGGTCAGCTGACGCCGACTGGTCTCTGTGCTCTCAGATCTGGTCCTGGATTCAGTTTTACTGCAGTAACTCTTGAAGCGCTCACTTTGACTGCAGGAATTCACACCCTTCTTCATGCTACACAATTCTAACAGTAAATGAGCTATAACATCTGTCAGCAAGAGCACTCAACGGGAGGCAATTAGGGAGTGACCTGCACCTTTGTTTGTTTGTTCTTTTATGGAATGACTGAGTGACTTACACGGTCTGTTGTTTCTAAAAGTTTTGTGTTACATGGAGCAGAGCACAAATGTCATTTAGAATTGCACGCCGTTTTTAAGACGATGGGAGTTTAATGTTTCTGAGCTGTTGGACTGGCTGCAGACATGACTTAAGCTATAAACTTAAACCACGTTTTTCTTCCTTCACAATCACACGATGAAAGGTCCCAGTGTTCAGTTGTTCAACGGCAACAGAAGTCTGGAATCCAGTTTGTTTAAGAAACAAAAGGGGAGAAAAGGCTCCCTGATTATTCAAAGTGCCAAGATTTTGGGAAAAGTCAAAATCAAATGGTCGTTAGTGTCGAATATGATTGGTCTGTGATAATCCAGCTGCTATTTGAGAGAAGTTCTTGTTGGTTTTTCTTTCAGCTACCTTGTGCAGAGGTCACCACAGCAAGGGAAATGGCACTAAAGATTGCTATCAAACCCCCATGCTATTTGAAATTTGAAGTAAAATACCTTTATGTCATTAAAAACCTATTAATAAACTTCTTACTTACTAACATTTATTTTTTTATTTGTTACGACAAATAATCAAAAGTTGCAGTAGATCGCCTCAAGAAGTGAACAGATGAAATCAGTTACGTGGTATATCGCTTAAATCTTCCTGTCATTATGCTGCACACGCACATCAGCACACAGCCCCTCCTTGGATCAAAGCGCACACACTTAGCTGTCATTTCCTGTTAATGTAACAAATCAATTAACACTCATTTCCTGTTCTTCTGAACTGCCACTCGCTGCTCCAGTTTTTGTGTTTGTTTCTTTATTTATCTGCGAAACAGCCGTCTAGGTAGTGGCAGAGCACAAGCACAGATTAAACAACGTATAACAGCAGCTCTATTAGCGTCATGAATAACACATTAAAACGCCAAGAAGCCTCAACAGGGACAGAATGTGTACAATATGTTAAGGTTAAATACATCCTACACTCATGCTGCTGTAATGGCAACATTAAAGTAAATGTTGGGATATTGCGACCTTATAACGCTGGTAGGGATGTGAGCAAATGATGGCATTTATTTACTCATTTTTGTGATCTTAGCTACTAAATACTCAATTATATTTACCAGCAAAATAAACCTTTTGCTAGTAGGTTGGTGTTCAGTGAGCTAAAATATTCTTCTTTTTAGAACAGCTTGTGGCAGCAACTAATATTTTATTTTTAATTACTTTATTTTACCAGGAATAAATCAATTGAGATCATCAATCTCTTTTACAAGGATGTCCTGGAATAATAGTAATAAGAAGCTTAGAATTGATACCAAATGGTTTTGTCAGACCAAGTTGGCATCATCATGTGACAAATCGGAGTCAGTGCTGAGATGCAAGAAAAAGCAATTTTCTATAGACCCAAACATTTAAAGTGTATGAAAACAACTTTTATAGCTTTTTACTCAATTATTATGATCTTCAGGTGAGACATTCTTACTGCCAGCTCATGTTGAAAATACTTAAAAAATGGTGTTTATCACGCTGTCATGAAGAAAAGTGATTCCTAAAAATTGTCTAAATGAACTTGTTTCACTTAATACACCTTATAATCCGGTGCGCCTTAAAGTCCGAAAAATACAGTAATGAAAAAGATTAAATCGTGAAAACAATCTGTTGGTTACGACCTCGAATGTTCCGGTGTGTACCATTCAAGAAAAGGATAATAATGGTAATGATTCTTTTCCATCATTAAATTTGATAACAATCAAAAACGGACAATAAAACCAAACAATAATTTATATAAATATTTTATTGTCAATGCTATAGCAATCGTTATATGTCATTAACAAAAAAAAAAAAAAAAAAGAGTGGCCTAAAACACTAAGCTGTACATCCTCTACCTGAATAGACATATTTTGTTATTATTAACTTTATTAATATCACGGCTATCACCAAAAGAAATATACCACACATTCAAATATTGCGGAAACAAAAAATATTTAGAACAAACGTCGTAAAAAAAATTGTATGGTTTAAAGAAAACTAAGGTAGTTTAATAACTTAGGCAAATGATGTTTTAGTAAAAACACAAACATCTAAATGTAGCAATATTCAGCAAACACACGCTTCAAGATAGACATTAACATTGATACATAAAATCCAACATTCCTATCAGAGTTTTTATTTCAGTGAGACATAAACGGTGGTGGTAAGTTCCTCGTCATATTTAAAAAAAATATACTGCATATTTATATTTTACATAAAAAAATTAAAATTTTCTTGGTTCTAAAATACAATTGTAATATATAAAAGCAATATGTACAGTTCCCTCGACAATATGTTTTAATGCAGCCTGATTTTGTCTTTTATTGAAAGAATAAATTAAGATGTGTCTGTAGGAGCTGAAGGACTACATCAATCTCTCAAATACATACCAACACAAACATTTCAACTCCCACAAATAAACATTAAAACACAATTCAAGTCATAATTATGAAAGACTTTTGATACTCAGCATTGGCTTTATTCATATTTGTGTTGTTTTCCTTAATTTTCTATTCAGTGAGACCTCCAATTGTTGCAGGTGCCAAATGAATCCATCTATACAGACATGTTGTGTAATGTCTGCAAAAAGTCCAACATATTCCCTTTTCTTGTTTTCATCCATCTTGACTATTAGGTGTTAAAGCTCCTGCTCTTTCTGTAAAATAATCCAATTTAAAACTCTACGTTCCATCAAAACATGTATTTTCATGCGTATCAAGGCCTGTTTGTAGGAAACAAAGATTATTCAGATAAACATTCATAGAATGATTTGTGGTACAACAGCTGCTCACGTTAACAGCATTTATCATGCTCTTTGAAGCCCTCATCATCATATTCCATGTACAGTTATCTTAAATCATCTCTTTGAGCTTAAACTTTCTGACTTTTAATTGGCCCAAAGAACGTCATGCTAGAGGACTGTGATTCTCATCTGCAGAATCATTGCTAGCAAGGTAGAGAGAAAGAGAAGTAAACATGATGAGGATGACGAGCAGGGCGATGAAGACTGTTTATGATGGTAGCTGTAGTGGTTGTGGAATCTGTTCGAAGGCTGCACTGTGATGTAACCCTTGAAGTGGACCAGTGGGGGAGGAGGAGACTGTGCCACAGAACTGTCAAAAAATAAAGTGCAGAAATCACTTGTTAATGGGAAGTTTGCACTTATTGTTCCAAAATAAATCTGTAACACTTTACAATAACGTGCACACAATTTGATTAACTACTAGGGAACGCGGGCGGCACGGTGGCGCAACTGGTAGAGCTGCTGCCTCTCAGCGAGCAGGTCCTCGGTTCAAATCCTGGTCCAGGGGCCTTTCTGGGTGGAGTTTGCATGTTCTCTCCGTGCATGCGTGGGTTTTCTCCGGGTGCTCCGGTTTCCTCCCACAGACCAAAAACATGCATGTTAGGCTGATTGGTAAATCCAAATTGTCCTTAGGTGTGAGTGAGAGAGTGAATGGTTGTTTGTCTCGTTTGTCTCTGTGTGGCCCTGTGATGGACTGGAGACCCGTCCAGGGTGTACCCCGCACCTCGCACAGTGATTGTTGGACATGGGCACCAGAGACCCCCGTGACCCAAAATGGAAGAAACGGGTAAAAAGTAATGGAATAAAATATTTTTTCAAATGTTGTTCATTTACACCTCAGGGCCACCGTACTAATGGGTAGTTAACCAGTACTTACTGGGGGAAACACAGCCAACACTTATTAGGGGACTACTGGTTTGTGACCACAGAAATAGAGGAGAAATTCTCCACGTGGGTTCTGAATAGGGCTGGGCGATGTGGACCAAAACTAATATCTCAATATTTTTAAGATTAATGGCGATATATAATTTATATATTTATTTTTTTGTTCCATAAAGTAATAACAAAAATATACTTCTGAGTCAAAGCTTAGTCCCAATTGTCACACAGGCACCTTTATTAACAAACAGCTGTAACTATATAAAAGAAATGTCTCAAAAATAAAATTAAGTTTTTTTTCTCTGCTTAACCAAACCAAAAACACAGCTGTGCACTTAACATTTAAACAGAAAACATACAGAGCAAATGAAAACAAGAGCAAATGAAAGGACGACTTGCTCTTTAAAACGTCTGATTCTAATGAAGTATATTAATTCAAACTTTATTAACCTTTAAAGCTATTAGAAAGCCTGCATTGTTGTGTAGTTGGCTTGATTACTGAGCTCGGTTCTGTTTGGTTGTGGCTTGTTTCTTTCTGAATTTCATGGTTCCTATGCTCTTGAATGCACCGTGGCTGTTCCGACGCTAATGAACGCACCGCTCTGTGTAAAGTGCTGCGTGCTGTGCGTTGGAGATTTTTCGCTCCTGACACAGACGGAGCCTTGTTGTTTGAGCTTCTGTTTGTGTAAATACCAGAAGAAACACAGCAAATAAATCACCCTAAACTGGATTTGTTTTTGTAATGAGAAGACAACTTCCTTGCTGCTCTAAAACACTTAATTTCCTGGAGAACTCCAAACCTCTCCTTTGTGGCATCTTCCCAGTCATTTTCACACCTATCAGGAATTTACATCCATGTCACCAGAGTGCCTCCACAGTGAACAAAGACCTATTGTGACAATTGATATCTGCATATGCATCTAGCTTGGAGCTGCAGCAGCACCAGTTTTACACATCAGGAGGCGGGGTGAGCGGCTGGGTTTGAATTCAGTGAGGGGGAGGAGGAGGGGCCACGTGAAGGTGCAGACTGGGAGAAAAACTGACCCATTTTCAAGTATAATTATAACTACGTAGAGTATGAGACTATATTGCTTTATATCGATATAGTCTCATTTTATATTGTATGAAATTATATTGATATTTTAAAAAATATATCAAGATATCGCCCAGCCCTAGTTCTGAATAAACCTTGCACCAGTGAGGTCACAGCTCGTAACTGTCAAAAACCTGATTCCTGGTGATTACTGATTTTATTGGATTTTCTTTTTTGTAAACCTATTGATGAAAGACATTAGCAATTTCATAATTTTCTAACCGGTAGTCCCCTAATAAGGCTTGGCTGTGTGTTCCCTTGTAAGTACTGGTTAACAGTCAATTAGCTCCTGATTCATTCCTCTTTGGTTTTCTTGGTAACTACTCATTAGTTCTTGATTAGTTCCTCTTTATTTACAAGGTAACTAACCAGCAGTCCCTTAATAAGGCTTGACTGTGTGTTCCCCAGTAAGTACTGGTTAACTAACCATTAGCTCCTGATTCGTGTCCCCTAGTAGTTCATCAAATTCTGTGTACTTTATTGTAAAGTACCAATAAATCTTTCGTTATTACATATTTTGCTTTCAAGGAGTCATTTTTGAAGAAATAAATACAACAAAGGACCGTGAAGCAGTTTAAATCAGTAGTTTGTTCAGCTTTCTGATAGTCTTTGGATGTTTATCTTTGAACTTGGGCTGCTTATTGTCATATTTTCTGCCCCGCTGTTTTATGCAACTAGCACATCGTGCAGCATGTTTCACAAAAAATGGGCAAAAATGGCTTTAAAAAAAGCTATCTACAGCAGATGAACAAAGTTTTTGTACTTAAGAAATGGAAAAAAAAAATGAATAGAACGAAAAACTATTAATCACAAAAACTTATAACCACACATTTTCTCTTAATTTAATTTCAACTAATGCAAGGGACTTTTTCCAGCTGGTCCTAGCTGAAGGCACCACACCCTGCAGGCGTTATTTATTCAGCTCATTTTTAAATGGTAGCTGTAGAAGTAGCGCAAGAGGCTGAAGAAGACATCGATTCCCTGCTTAGACAAAACGTGTGGCCATGTGTCACTGTGTGGCCGTGCATCAAACACAACAGACAGCCGTGGCACTGCGGTCGCCACTGTTATTTTGGACGGCTTCACCTTCTTTTACTTGGCCGTCCTTTCAGACATTAAAATACACAAAGACGTTCAGCCGGTGCACTTTGTAGCGCGAGCACCCAAACAGTCTGTTTCCTCTCCGTTTAGACTGCAGCGACTCGCAGAAAGACAGAAAACCTTTCCACAAACATCATGTACACAGATGTGCACAAACTTCTCCTGTTCTCTGTAGGATTGAGAGCAGTTCTCTTTCCATCGCTGATTAAAAATCATGCAAACTTTATTAAAAAATGTGTGTTCATTCAGAGGCAAAAAAAAAAATCCATATATGGTTTTAGTAAGTCTTGTACAAACTGTTTTATTATACGTAAAACTTGAGCAGTTATTCTAAATGTTTATCTCATAAATATAACATCTAAGCTGTTTAACAGCAAATAAATACAACTGACATGAAACGTCAAAATATATATGTTGATAGAATTGGAGTAATAGTAGAAGACAGACTAAAGGGAAAATATTATGCTAGACCAGGGCTATTCAACTGGTGGCCCAGGGTCCAAATCAGGCCCACGGATGAACTCAGTTTGGCCCACCAATGGGTTAATTTAAATACAAAATTTTAAACTAGATTTTAAACTAGAAAATAAACTTAATGACAATAACTGCTGAATGCCCGGCCCCTGAGCTCATGGCTTTCAGTAACTGTGACCCCTTGAACAATTTAGTTGAATAGCTTTGTGCTAGACATCAAGTTGGAAATTTTAAACTATGTACGTGGGACCTTCTTTAAACTACTCAAACGCCAGTAGTAAGACATGTTTCAATGTAAAAGTGCTGTTTTATACAATTTAAATGCTTGCAGGTCTTGTATAAAGCATATCCATCCATCCATTATCTTTACCTGCTTCTTTCTTTTTGGGTTGCGGGGTTCATTGGTGCCCATGTCCAGCTATCACTGTGTGAAAGGTGGGGGACACCTGGACATGTCTCCAGTTCATCACAGGGACACATAGAGCAAACAACCATTCACTTTCTCACTCACACCTAAGGGCAATTTAGAGCAGGGTTATTCAACTGGCGGACCGCAGGCCATTTCCGGCCCGCGGGAGCCTTCAATCTGGCCCATTTCATTTAAAAAAAGAAGAAAAACTATTATTTTTATTTTATATTTTTTTGGGGGGTGGGGGGTGTCTGGGTTTATGTTTATTGCATTTATGATTCAATGCAATAAAATAAACAAATTTAAAATGTAACAGGTCATTGTAATACTTTGTACATAATGATTTTAATCAATGGATGTCCGGGGCCCCCGAGCTGCTGGCTTTCAGAAACTGTGGCCCCCTGAGCAGTTATGTTGAATAGCCTTGATTTAGAGTCACCAATCAGCCTAAATGCATGTTTTTGATCTATGGGAGGAAACTGGAGTACCAGGAGAAAACCCATGTATGCACAGAGAGAACATGCAAACTTCACCCAGAAAGGTCCCGGGCCGGGATTCGAACTGGCAGCCTTCTTGCTGAGAGGCTTCTTGCTGAGTATAACGAAACAGTTTAATTTAAAACTCAATAAAAATGATAACACGTCCCCCAACAAGATCTTTTTGTGTGAAATGTGCACACTTTTGTTTTCTGTTGTTTCCATTACTCTGTTCTCTTACAATCCAACTTCATGTAATACAGTTGAAAGTGAAAACCCTAAAATGCCCAAAGGTATAAAGGAACTCAAACTGTATTTCCAGTTTTTGTGATAACCCAGTAACTGTTTGTAAGACATACAGAAAATGAATTCACAACGTCCTATAGTCATTCCGACAACCTTTTGTCCACAGAAAAACAACTAATTGCTATGAAAACAATATGTTGCTCTCACAAAACACTGACAGAGGTTTTAGTCATGGCGGAGCATTCCTTTTTGTCTGAAAGGTGAGCTTGTTTTGTTGCTTGGTTAGTCCCTGCCTTAAGCTATTGTAATAGCAAAACTACTTTGTAGATTGTTCATAGGAATTATCAAGTTGCTATTTTTAAACCCATGCAACAATATCAGCTAGGGTTAATTTCTGTTTTGCTGCAGGAAGAAGTAAATGTTAGACTGTAAATGTAAGTAAATGTAAACTGCAGGAAGTTTAGGGATGTGGTAGGAAGGCCCTTGGAGCCCAAGGTGTCACACCAGGAAGTATTGGTTTTAAGATCCAAAGAACATTTCAAATGCCCTTCTCAAATGATCCTTTTATACTTTATCTCATGACTTTTATAATATTATTCAATTGTGCTTGTTTTGGTCTTCCTTATTTTGAAAGACATCTCTTCTTGTTTTCTTACCTCTCCTCTATGCGCACCCAAAGGTCATTAAAATGCCTGTTCCGCTGTTTCTTTTGCTTGTTCCTCCGTTTTTTCTTCAGCATTTTCCTCTGTGCTTTCTCTAGCATATCCAAGCCATCAGGTGGAAGAATCATGTGAGGTAAAAGATCCTCCTCCTCCTGGGGTCTCCCATCATCCTCGGCCTTGAGAGGCAGCTCATGGAGGAAAGGCTCCAGTAGAGGTGACTCATCCTGGTGGTCTTCCAATGCTGGTGAAGCAGATATGAAAGATGATCTCCTGGAGGATAAATATGAGAGGATATGAGGATTTTTAAAGGAAAGAAATGAGAAATCTGATGTATGTATAATTTGGTGGAGCCATAGTTTTTCAGGGCTGGAGTTTACATAGTGTACTTGTGAACAAGCATTCTGTTGTAAACCCCGGCCTTGTGTTAACTCTGGACAGCACTCAAATACAGATGCATTTCAGTCCCGTATCAAACACTGGGCTTGTGTGTGAAAGTTGATTTACTCATTCATTCACTTACCCACAGGAACAGGAACACAGATTGAAGCAGAGATAGCCACCCGCAGAGTTGCATGGTCTATTGATTGCACTACAAGCTCCCCCAGCAGGAGGTACAAGCCTTACTTAAGTTGATCTTTTCAACACTACTTCATTGGTGGTCATTTGGAGAAAAAAAATTTCAGACTTATCTGCTGCATAATCTATAATGCGTGAGCAGTCAAAAACATGCAAATACCTATAAAGAATGAGAGGCATTGGTGAGAATATTTTTGAAGAAACTGGAAAATGTAAACATGAGATCCATGATACGATAGTCTGATTTCGAGGCAGCTTGCTGTTCCAGTATTGCACTTTGGATCTTTGTCATGTTGGATTTTTAGAGCATTTTGGAACACTGTTTTGTCCCTAATAACATTTATTCCTAACCAAGTGTTGCATAAAAGTTACAAGACAGGTTTCTGATTTCAAGAGGATTTTGAAGGTTGTGGAAATGTAATGCAAATTATTTTAGTGTCGTAATATTTTGTAGTATACGTGTATAACTGAAGCAACTTCTGATATTGCAGCTACAGACTACAATTAGCTGAATGTACCTCTTTCTGCAAGATAAAATAAGATGCAACACTTGAATGATTGACTGGTGTCATGAATTTCCACAATACCTTTGCCAATGGATCAATCTGAATGTGAAACACTCTTAACAGATAATGTCCTGCTGGACGATTATGAGTGTGTTTAAAGATACTTCATTGGTGAAATTACCTCTTTACGGGCTGTCCGGCAGGAGTGTGCTCCACCTCATAACCTTGGCGGCGAAGGACATCGATAACTGTGTTGTTGCCAAGAAAGTGACCTACAGCCAAGATAATAAAAATTGATTAATCCATTTTCATTTAGCTAATGATGATCTATTACAACTTAATGGAAACAGGAGATTTAATACTAATAGTTGCACTGTTTTGATTTATAAGAGGAATGCAATCAAGCTAAATGGAAGACCATCCAATAAAGTAATATGGTATGCAAGACCAAGGACATTGTATTTTTGATAGCTGATACTTTCATTACACACACACAATAAACTCAGTCAGAAAGCATAATTTTTCAGTGTTTATGCCATTTATGTGTTTATTAAAAATGTAAGGACATGGGATTTTAGTGGAGGGCAAATCAGTCATTGATACTAATACCATCATTTTTCTTTGACTGGTGAATATAGGCAACAAAAATGAAAAGAGATTACACTTATATTGAAAGAGACCCATGACTTGTAGTCATTTGTTTGTCTACTTTTATGATGATGAAACCAGGGGCAATTTAGCATTGGCCACTTTGACTTTTCTCAGATAAACCCAATAAAATGCAAACAACCACATTGTTTGTCACATCCTGTGACAAGGTCATCCTTGGTAATGAAAAGGAGATCCTTTTCATTCATTCTGACAAAAAAAAAATTGAGCAGTACCACTTTCAGCCACTTGACAACAGCAGAGTAGTAATAGCAGTATGGCATGCCATTGTATCATGTAATAGGTAAACTTGGCTATAATGACTAATTCAAAAAAGTTCAAGACAAAAACAACTGGACTTTATTTATTATACTTAGTTTTTTTTCTCTAACTTTTTTGAATTTACCATTTCCTGGATGACTGAGAATCTTCACCAGCTATTAATGACACAATTGGCTTGCCATATACACCCACCTTCTTTCTGCTCGCTGCTTGGAGCAAGTTAAACCAGCTGCACCGCCCCGGTGAAATGCAGCTAATTTGACCATTAAAGTGCATTTATTAAGCAAATGTTAGACTGAGACACACATTTACTATAATTTCGAGCAAACAAATAACTGTTTTTAAGTGTTAATCTTGTTAAATTCTTGTTAAAGTCCTCCTGTGCACGATCCTGCGGCCGCCATTTGGCAGCCCACTGATTTTTGGCACAACACCGGACCACATTTCTGGGTTCGGCTCACATTTCTGGTTAGCGGTGATGCGTAACAAAACGAGACGCATCAGCGATGACATATACGGTGAAGCAACATATTTATGGATTTTTCCACTTTATTAGAAAAATATAGACTGATGCGACTTATAGGGCAGTGCGACATGTATGGCGGAAAATACGGTAAGCTAAGATCTTACTTGGCTGTGATTAGTCAGAAAACTAGGATTTGTATGATCTTGGGAATATTTTATCTTTCTATTATTTGCCATCTGATGTTCTTCCTCTCAAAGAAGTGTTGTCCACTAAAAGTGATTCATTCTGCATTTGTCTTACTACTTCTCTATGACTCTCACTTGACATAAACTATTACTATTTGTCTTTAAGTCTCTCCATCACTCATCCTTCAACCCTGATCATTCTCCAGCCACCACTTCCATATTGAACCTCCATGTTTTCATTCCGTTTTTATCTCTTTTATTTCCCCCCTTACTTATTTTTCACTTCCCCTTTCCTCCCCTTTTCTCTCTTTCTTCATGTGACCCTCTCAGTTAGGTGAAGTGGGGGCATTGAAGCTTCAGGTTGCCATGTCAAGAGGTCTCCATTCTTCCTCTCATTCTGACAAAGGGGAGCAGTGGTCTATTGTTCGGGCCTGCTCAGCCGTGGCACCAGAGAGCTGTGTAAACAATGAGCCCCAGCACTTTAATCTGGCCCAGAGCCATCCATAGAAGGAGGTTAGTCCACGGGTGTTGTGATGCTGCGGCATGATGCGGCTGAAACTATTTCAGAAAAATGGAATAGCGGCAGAAATGATTAATAAAAAAATAATCAAAAACATCCATAATCAGCATAACATAATAGTTTTTATATGCTAATTTTGCCACTTATACTAAGACACTGTTATTCAATTTATTACTTATTTAAGCATTTATTTTTAGGCCTTGTATGCATGCATCTTACTCCAAGGGTGCCCTTATTCAAAGTTAAACTACTCAAATATTCTGAGAGCTTTGGTGAAACAGTACCAATAGCAGATGAATATCTTACTTTAAACAGCAACTATTGTCAACACAAGAGGCCAGTTAAATATCTAGAACCCTAAAATTCTCTTTAAGAGGTGGGGAAAAAGAACGGAGCAAAGAGACAGAGCATCCTTGCAACATTTAGAAACAGCTCCAAGTGATTTATGCAAGTTTACATCAGGGGATTAAGGTGGGATAAATGGAGTTGTTCAGCACAATGTAGGGCCGCACAAAAGTGGGCGGACTTCCAAACATCAAAGAAACGCAGAAGCAAACACACCCACATGTCCATTCTCACACCAGAAATAATCCTCAAGGATCTCTGGAACCTCAGAAAAGGTCTAATGTAGTCTAAGAAACATTTTGAAACATCCTTACTTACAATATTATTGTAGCATTAATGAGCAGATGGTCAATTAAAGCAGAAGACATCATCATGGCCACAGTAGACAGAAGCTGGTCTGTGCTTCTCCCACAAGAAAAGGGTTTTAGTGAAGTGAGTCAGAGCTGGCTGGCTCACTTTGGCAGTTTAGACTTCTGAAACCTTCAAGTGGAATTCCCACATGTTAAGGAACACCTTCCTTGGTACAGAGCCCAGTTGTGGCAAATGTGTTTTGCTTCCAAAGCAGGTGGTTTACTGCTGCAGTAGGTTAGGATAGAAAGTAGCGGTAGGTACAGTAGGTTAGAAAATCTGGTTAATAACATTAAAAGGAAACAAGTGAGCTAAGGGGATGGATGCTCTCAGTTCAGAGGACTTTTTGGTGGCAGGCTTTTAGTATTAAAAAAAAAAAAAAGATTAATTGAACTCACAAGGGCATTTGAAATTGGTGCTGATTTATGAAGTGGAAAAAAGTGGAAAAACTCTTGTGAGTTTGTGGTCCAGGCCAGAAAAATGAAACAAATTAAAAGTTACTGAAAAACTACATAAAGTGTGGTTTGTTGCTTGGCTGGGCCATTTCAGTTTGGTCGCACCTCTCAGCACTCTATTAGGCTTACAACATAAATTACACCTATTTATTTATTGGTTCTTACAAAAAAAATTAAAATAATAAAAACCAGACCAGCCGGTTAATTTATAGTAAACCCACAGCTTTAGTCATCATGTTCATGTGGAGCAATGTACAACATCTGACATGAATTTCCACTGATTATTTATTTATATTTCTTACATTTTAATTTGGTGAAATTGGACATATTTACACCAGTGGACAATACGTTCAGTGTGTCTTTAAGCAGCAATAAGAGGGGAGATGATTGAAATAAAGACACGAGACACACCTAAAAGCTTTCATTCACACTGGACTCCCTTCATACAGCAAAAAGTTGCACATGAAACAGCTTAAGATCTTAGATTAGTTCATGTGTTGCTCATGAAAGCTTAATTAAGATAAGTTGATCTATTTTCCAGGGAAGTGACTGATTTTATAAAAGCTCATGTCTAGGTCTAGCTATAAATAAATAGACTAAAAAGACTTTCAGTCTCTTTTTAACTTCAATGTGATCTACAAACACATTGCTTAATATTGTGAATGAATTACCGGTAGCGCTTTTTTTAACTCGAGATACCATATTTTGAAGGATGCTGTTACTATTTATGTCCAAAAGTGTTAAATAAGTGTGGATTAAGGTATATGTCTTCATGGGCTGCGACTATTGAAAAATACTTGGCGAGCAGCGTTTGGGGGATGTTTTCAAAATGTTTTGAAATGTTCAGGGGTTCTCGCTTTGCTTGTTCAAGTCACAGAGGTGTGCAGACTTGTTGCTTGAATTGTTAATGTTCGGAAAAAAAATGTGCGGCAAATTCTCTATCAAAATAGTTGCAGGATTGTTGTAGACATCTCAAACCCATTTTGAACTGTTTGACACCTGCATGAGATGTCTTCTAAGACAGAAAACATTTGAGGCTACGCCCCTGAATGCCCAGGTCTAACTGGTCTATATCTACTGATCTTAGTGTCAAAAGTGAACTTTAGTAGATTAAATCACAAATGTGTGGATTGCTGCCAGGTTGGACACAAAGTGGGCCATGGTGGGAATTATGTGAGTGGAAGTGGGCAGCAAACTAATGTGTAGGGCCTAGAATACAGTTTTCCGAACCATGCCCATGCAAATAAGCCAAGATTTTCAACAACTGACTGCTAAAAATGAGGCCGCAAGACGTGCCAGGTGCTTTTTTGTAAACACTCATAATTCATTGAAATGCTAACTGAACTTTGCCTGTCTTCTCGCAATTTTTACTTACCAAAAAGTCTCCAATAGTCACAATGCAGTGAGATATGAGTCATTTAGAGGTTATTCTGAGCTTTGGGGTACACCAGTGGAGGCACTATTGGAGTGCATCCTCATAGGTGCATCAATGTTATCTTTCAAAACGACTAGTAAGGAGTGAGGTAAGTTAGTTATTAAGAAGAAATGCAAGAAAAAAAAGGCCCTAAGTGTTATGAAAGATGTCTCTCACTCCACCCATAAACTAACTTCCTGTCCTCTGGAAGGTGATATGGTTACATCATATCAAAAACAACCAGTGTGCAACGACTAAATGCTCTGAGCAATAAGGATCTTGTATCTCTAGTAGCACTCTCAACATATAGGGCAAGATAAATAGTTTGTTTCAGTCTATATTTTATAAGCAAAAAATGACAGATACATTTATTTTAGTCACTTATGACTGAACTAATTGTGAGCCACCCTTTAGCTAGAGGAAAGTTAGTAGGAAATATTCAGAGGGGTCAAAACGAGATTAAAATCAGACTGTGGTGCAGTTTTCTTTTTTTCTGACAGTTATTTTGCCATGCTTAAGACATTTTTTTATGCATACAATTTACTCTATATTCTGAATGTGAATTACAACTTAAGAGCCATTCATCCTGAAAAATACATGCTCATTTTT